TTTACTCGCTGAGGGGGCGGAGGGAGAGATCAAGAGATACAAGACTGTTCATGCTCGCCGCTGAAGCGTGTTATTAAGCAAACCCAAAGACTGGGTAAGTTGCCAATTTTGGCAATGGCTGAAACCATTTATATACACTTTTTGAGAGCGACATGCTGATGCAAGAGATGCCTCATACTCTTACGCTGGGAATGCCAACTCACTGGCATTACTATAGCGACTATATTTACATTCAAGCTCTCTGTTATTTGCTCATAAGCCATTCCTAGGCAGTTTGCTAAGGAATTGAGGCTTAAGAGCTTGTGCAATCATTGGATTTGTCTGCCCACCCTAACTGTTTCGAATTGGCTAATTTCAACCAAATTGGATGGCGAGGCAGCAGGATCAAAGATACTAAGCTCCTGAAAGTTTCATGCAAAATAACAGCTGGGTAAAGAGAAACATCAATTAGCATCTCTGTTCTTCCCCCCAAGGGAAAGGCCCCAGTGCAGGCTCAACCACACCATTAGACATCAGAAAGTCCAGCAGGAAGAGAGTCAGTGAATGAAAGCTGCAAAAAAAAACCCCAAGCTTTGCACGTCATGCTGCTCCAACAGCCTTTCGCATACGTGCATCTGGCACCTCCTTGCACGCTCCACTGAGTGGACGCAGCGCGGGCTGCTTTGGAAGTTGAGCTCCTGTTACTAAAGCACACTCTCGCTGTCATACAGAGGGTGAACAAATAGCTCGGTAGCCTTACCGGAACGGCTCTTCTCATCCTTTGCGTGGATATCAGCACCAAGGGACAGCAGCGTCTGGATGGTGTGCACATGTCCTTCCTACAGTGGTGAGCACAGGCACGTGGAATTCAGAATCAGCTCTGCACAATTTCTCACCTTTGCATTTAGCAGAGATAACACAGGCCTGAAAAGAAAGGAGACCGCAAGCGATCTGTCCCTAACTGGATATGGCACCTGGAAGGACGCAGACACAGATCTACTCCGTCACGGTCAAATCTGGGGCTACCAGGAGCTGCTTCAGGCTCCAGAGGATCTTACAGCAGCTGGAAATCAGGGTTGGCCGCCAGCAGCAGTGCAGAGTGGGTCCATTAGCCAGGGTTTGCCCAGACACAGCAGACACGCTGCCGTTACCCCACGGGGACTGGCCAGAGAGATGCCACTGGGCACCTTCTCCAGCCCTTCTGCTGGCAGCCCATGAGAGGATTCGGAGCTTGGCCCTCGGTCAGCGTGTCTGCTCGCCTTGCGTGGCCCTGGCAGCAATTTCAACCCAGAGGCTGAAAAGACAAGAGGCATCCCAGGAGCATAATTCTTTCTGCAAACATTTAACGCTGTTTTAAAATCAAAAGTGTTCAATTAAGACCAACAGTGCTTAAAATCACGCTACAGCGCAGAGCTGTCTTTGGTGGTGCTGGTCAATAAATCCACCTTGCACAGCCAGGACCTCGAGGTGTGAGGAATTTGGAGGATTGTCTCCCAGCGCGGCTTTACCTTTGCCGGTGGCTGTGGAGGAGTTAATGCACAAGCGATCTCTGACAACTAGGTGACACAACCTAAAGATGTTTCTTAATAGCAAATTAGCGCACTAATTTGTCAACTGGTCTTGCCTTTGCCTCTCCAGTCCTCACCTCCAATCAAGCAACTCCATTAAAATTGCTTTTAACTTCAGCTTGCCACAGAGCTGTAGGATCCCTGCCTTACCTTTCCTAATTGGCAGCTGGCTGTTAAAGGAACTAAATGTCAGCAAGAGGCCGTCTGTTTTCCTACACCGTAAATCCACTTCAAGTACCACGGGGATCTAGAGTTGCTCTTACTGAGGTGTATTTCACCTCAGAGAGCAGAACCTGTTGCTGATGTGAACTGTTGCGTATCTGCCTGCGGTACCCCCGGGCACCGGCATTTCCTAAAGGATTACTCCAGTATTTGTAACGCCCTGTGAGAAGACGCAGAACGCCACTTTTACACACCGTCACAACCCACAGTGTCCTCTCTCTTTCCTCTGCCAGTAGGCAATTTTAAACACTGTAGGTGAAAATGCAACACAGTCCCCACCCCCCTCCTCTCTGCACAAGCTTCTCCTTAAATAAATCCTCTCTCCCTAAATAACGAGCCTGATTTTGTAATTACTTCTTCGATGCAATGAATTAGTCTTTGTCGTGCGGCATGAGAATGGAAGGCCCTTATTTTTATCCCCACCACCCACTCTTTTCCCCCATTATCGTACGACTCAGTAGCATCTTCCCCCTTGCTCAAGGCTCCCGTTTCCCGGCTGCATGCACACCCCCTCTCAGTGGCAAAGACAGCAAGCCAGGAACTGCTTTAGCTGCCACAGCCTTGGCACAAATTGAGTTGAAAGCATAATTTGATTTTCATGTATTTATAAATGCAAAGTAATAAGAAAAGAAGGAAAAAAAAAAAAAAACCCACCAGCCAAACAAATGATGCTGTAAATATAAAGTGACACTGAGCCTTGGGAAGGAAGAGAAACCCATCAAATCGCTCCCCAATCAGCCGCTCGCCAAGACAGAGCTGGGATCTTCTCCAAGGCACATTATATTCCCCAATAGCCTTGCTGTTAAACGTACCCTTGGCAACCAAAAGGGCTTTCAAGATGGTTTCTCAGAGCATGAGGAAGGGAAGCTGGGAGAAAGGCCTCCTTTGTGGGAGCCAGCAAATGCCACGGCTGGGTCCTGCTGGAGGAGAATACTGTTGCCAGCACTCCCAGTAAGTGTCATTGATGCTTTTGTAGGAGTGAGGCACTGGGACGTTGCTTCGTTCCCACTACAAGTCTAGTCTGGGCTCTGAGTGCTGCATGTTAAAGCTCATGAGGTTTAACATGCAGGGATTTGAGCAGGGACCTTCCCTTGCCACCGGGTGCCAGCATGTTGCACACCATGGTGCGACAGAACCAAGCGGAAGGGAGGCAGCAGGGTCCCAGGAGGGATCCTGGGCAGCGGTGAGGCCGTTGGGATCTGCTCCGGGCTCCCAGGGAGGGTTGCAGGACCCACAGCCCACCAGCCCCGCTTCCCGCACAGGCATGAGATGGGAGGAGGAGAAAGCTCAAACAACTCTCACTGCCTGGAATTCAAAACAGCTCCTGCGTGAAGGACACAGATAAGCACCAGGGAGCTCCCTCCGCTTTTCCACCTCTCCTTTCTCACATCTGACCAGAATCCGGCCTTACTGGGACAAACAGTTGCTGTTTCACAGCGCATCAACCATCTTCTGTCCAGCAAGCTGCTGACATGAAGACTTGGCCACTGACCTGCTGTGACCCAAACCGCCAGGGCTAAAGAAAGACAGAGAAAGAAATCTGAGCAGTGTTTCATCCACATCTCCTCTGCCAGGCAAGTGAGAAGACACTTGTGAAGAACTGTCACAGCTCATGAACTGTTGGTACCTACCCAACAACTAGCAGGGTGGACTCCCTTCAGGTACTGCACTTTGGTCCAAAGAACCTCCGCTCGTGAATGATCCCACTCAGTTTATTAACCCGCAACGCGGTCAGCAGCATGGGCAGGAGGGTGGTGAACAGAGGAACTCAGATATCCACCGCCACCCTGCAGACAGCTGGACACACTTAACAAAGGTCTAAAAACCACCAAACAGGGTGTGGGACTGGTCAGGAGCAGACAGAGTGACAGAGGATGAGCTAGGAATGTAAATCCGTCATCAGTGGTGAACAACTAAACCAGCCTGATTTCAATGCCTCCCGGTAGCATACCAACTGGCAGAGATTTTGTAGAGGGAACCTGGGAACAGGGACAAACCTTGGCTGCGTAGTGTAGCGCTGTGAGCTGGAGGGTCGTCGCTCTCTCATTGACATTGACACCCAGCTCGGAGACAAGGAATTGGATGGCTTCATCCTGGGCCGTGACAGCTGCCCGGTGCAGAGGTTGAGCACCCAGCGCGTCCATGGCTGTAGGACAGGCCTGGAATGGGGGAGGAGGGAAAGGGAAAACAATGAACAGCCTGGCCAAACCTTCCAGGACAATCACGGGCCCAAGCAGAATCATGTCTGCCTGGCACGGCTGTGGTGACAGCAAGGAACACGTGGGACGTCATCAGCGGGACCACTGCAGTTGGTAACGCCATGATAGGCACCCTCAGCAAGTTTGCCAATGACACTAAGCTGTGTGGTGCGGTTGACATGCTGGAGGGAAGGGATGCCATCCAGAGGGACCTGGACAGGCTGGAGAGGTGGGCCCGTGCGAACTGCATGAAGTTCAACAAGGCCAAGTGCAAGGTCCTGCACGTGGGTTGGCGCAATCCCAAGCACAACTACAGGCTGGGCGGAGAATGGACGGAGAGCAGCCCCGAGGAGAAGGACTTGGGGGTATTGATTGATGAGAAACTCAACATGAGCCAGCAGTGTGCGCTTGCAGCCCAGAAAGCCACCCGTGCCCTCGGCTGCATCAAAAGAAGTGTGACCAGCAGGTTGAGGGAGGGGATTCTGCCCCTCTACTCTGCTCTGGTGAGACCCCACCTGCAGTACGGTGTCCAGCTCTGGGGACCCCAGGACAAGAAGGACATGGAGCTGTTGGAGCGAGTCCAGAGGAGGCCACGAAGCTGATCGGAGGGCTGGAGCACCTCTCCTATGAGGACAGGCTGAGAGAGTTGGGATTGTTCAGCCTGGAGAAAAGGCGGCTCCAGGGAGATCTAATTGCGGCTTACCAGTACCTGAATGGGCCTACAGGAAAGATGGTGAGGGACTGTTTGTCACGGAGTGTAGTGACAGGACAAGGGGGAATGGGTTCAAGCTGAAGGAGGGTCAATCCAGATTAGATGTTAGAAAAAAATTCTTTACTCTTAGAGTGGTGAGGCACTGGCCTAGGTTGTCCAGAGAGGTTGTGGCTGCCCCTGGCTCCCTGGCAGTGTTCAAGGCCAGGTTGGATGGGGCTTTGGGCAACCTGGGCTAGTGGAGGGTGTCCCTTCCCATAGCAGGGGTGATGGAACTAGATGATCTTTGAGGTCCCTTCCAACCCAAACCATTCTATGATTCTATGATTTGCAGACCAGAGCCAGCTCTTTGCTCAGCTTGTTAAGGGATAAGCAAAACTAGTACCAAAAAAAAAACAAACCCTCGCCTCCCTTCTGCTGGAGCATATATGATGGGTTTCAACTCCTTAAACCAGCAAGGAACAACCCACCTCCAATGTCTGTGCTGGTGGAGAAGAATTTGGACACAGGTAAAGGGAGATGGGTAGATGACCTCATGAGATCTCTTCTGTGAGTCTCTGAACATGAACCGCAAAGACGTAAAATCAAGAAGGGTAATGGAAGTAATACACAGTGCACCCATCTTAAAGGATATAATCCAGCCTCTTGAAGTCTAGTGGGCCTGACTCATGGTTTTATAAAACCTAGAAGGTAGCAACATTGCCATTAGCGTTTCCAGTGCTGCTTCATGGCAGTAAGCCAGGGCACCACAACGAGGAAATTAAATCAACTATTCCATCCTCATTGCCTGAAACGTGAGACTAAAAACGTAAGCAAACTTCACAAATGTTTTATCCTGTAAGGGCCAGATGAGCAAAGACAAGCACATGATCATCTCGTTAAGTCAACAAGCACCTACACACTCAAACACAACCTGGGCATCAAACCATCTCTGCTGGGTGAGGCTATGTGTAACGGCCGAGTAAATCCAAAGCTTGTGATCTCGAGAAGTGTGGTACCACATTCCCTGGCGCACTCCACGCCACGCTGAGGGTTGAGCTGGCCCATTCAACCTGCCAGCATGGCACAAACAGATTCACTGGTTTTGCCGTGCTCGCTTTCTGCCAAGCCAGCGGGCTGCACCGGTTCAGCGTGGTGTCCAATAAACACTGGAGCTGGTGTAGGGGAGAGGACCCGTGAGGGCAAAGGAGGTGAGAAGGGAGCACAACCCCACCTCCATGAGAATCAGCCATTAGGTGGGCTCCAACTACCTCACATCAGTTCAGCAGTCAATAAATAATGCAGCGGTTTGGTTCCTACTACGCACAATTGGCTCTAACGACATCCTGGTTACGCCTTGTATGTTGGAGGAAATTGGAGATTATAGGAAGACAACACAAGAGCAGCAGCTGTCATGAGAGACGGAGGCCAGAGATGAGCTGCTGCCGGCGCAGCCAGACACTTCAGTGTTATCCACCCTCAGCGCTGCCAGGAGAGCCTCCCCGCTGAGTCCCGGCACTCCCAAGCACAGGTCTCGGCTTTGACACAGCTGCCCCTGCGGCGCTGGGCAAATCCTGTCCCCTCCCACCGCTGCCTTCTCTCTCCATCTGCCTTCACCAGCTATGGGGATATATCCATGCCCCAGGGTGAGATATTCCCCCATGAGTTGCATCCCAGTGGCCTTACTCAGCAAAATCTTGCTCATCTCCAAGGGGGAATTTCTCTTCTTTTGCAGTTTGCTTCTTTACAATTTGGGAATTTGCTTCCGGTGAATGTGCAGATTGCTCATCCTGACAGTCCTAGGTCAGGCCCTGGAGAAGGGAGGTGAGGGGTTTGGCACCTACCTGGTGTTTTTCCAGGAGCAGCCGGGCAATGTTGACATGCCCATTCTGGATGGCATCCATAAAGGGAGTGACTCCACATTTGTCTCTGCTGTCAGGTTTGTACTGGCACCTGGGAAGGAAGACAAAAGCCAGGATAGAATTGTTGGCAGCTCTAAAATCCTTACGGCATCAGTTGCTTTGCATTGGCAGGGCAGGAGACTATCAGCGGATGGGACTGGAAAAGGCAGATATAAAGCCTACCCATACACAGATCATGCATAAACCTTTCTCGGTGCTTTACAGCTTGGGGTTTTTGGGTCAGAGATCTGGTACTCAGCTGGTGCAGCTTGTTCAGGCTGCAGGAAAGCCAGAACTCTTCAGATCATTTGTATTTCCCTTGTCCTCCAAGCAGAGGATCTCTGGAAGGGGTAAGGCGTGCACTGGCAGAAGGGAAAACCATATCCTTGTGTAATAACATCACGTATAAAATCAAAGCCCACAGGTCTCATTCAGCTTAAAGTTCCAATGAAATGAGAGAAGACCAAATTAAAATTGAAAGCCTGGCTCAGATCACAGGGCTATGTTTATGCTGGGCCAAGCATGGACAGGAATTAACAAGGCAGGGACGAGTCAGCTAACGGGAGCTACTGCTACAATGCCTGGGGGAAGCTGCTCCAGCTCTGGCAGCAGGCAGCGATGGTTAGGAAGGTAACAGGGTCAGGGTGACTGGGCTCTGGCTGATTTAAAACCACTTCACAACAATCTCTCGGGAGCTGCAGCCTGAAAATAAAGCCTGGAGGCTGAGTCCAGCCTAGAGGAGCTGCGCCCAGAACCGATCTGCCAGAAAACTGTTTTGTTATCGTATGGCCTCGGACACATCAGAGGCAATGAGAATGAATCAGCACAGAAAGACAGCCGAGTTATACAACCAGGGCTTATGTCATAGCAAAGTCACAGCCCATCGGAGCCCATCCAGAGAGCATCCTTGTCTCAAAGGCCCCTAACCGGCCGTGAAAAACCCAGAGGAAAGAGAGACGGCCTCGGGATCACACGCAGAGCAGCTGGGCTTCCCGAACGGCATAAATGCCCTTTGTGTCCAGGCGGCTGGCGGTGGTCAGGAGACGGGGGAGAGCGGGGAGGCAGAGGCAGTGCCAGGAGGAAGCCTGCTTACCGCTCCAGGAGTAGCTCCACAACATCAAAACAGCCATGCATTGCTGTGAGAGAGAGAGGAAGCGCAGGGTTAATTTATGTTTTCACGCCATCGTCCACCTATGGTGGAACATAATCAGGTTTCTGACCCTTTTGGCTTACTCATGATGCGGGAAGGGATTGCAAGAGGCTTTAAATTCAAAGCTTCTTTTATTTTTTGTAATTAAAATGTTGTCTCCAGATCTCAAACCTTCCCTGCCCCTGATCCTATAGGAAAACACCAGATAAATTGGGGAAAAAGCATGCATATAGGCAGCATTTGCTTGTAACTGCAGAGTGCATGCATGAGACCCTACATCCAATTAAAGTGACACAAAGATCTTTTCTTGCAAGTATTTGTTAATCCCTGAAGTGAAATCTGTGAGAAGCGAAATGAACACAAAGCAGGGAGCTGGTGAATAGCTGGATGGCATTTCCACCCCTCCTCAGCCACTCAAACTACCCATCACTCCCATCTCATCATCCTAATGAAGCATCCTCACCCAGACAGCATCTCAGAGGAAAAGCAACAGTGGGGGAGGATTTGAACATCATGCACTGAAATATTCTTTTTTTTTAAAAAAAAAACAAAAACAAACCAAACACATCGTATGACAGCAATGTGTGGACAGCCTTAACCTGGCTTTTTTTTTCCCTGCAGGTCATTTTGCAAAACAAATGAAATACATTAAAGGAAAAAAAAAATCAAACCAAGCCCAGAGCTGCTACATCAGACTATTTACTCTGTGCAATGAAAGAAAGGCCCTCGACAAATGTGTGTTACCAGCAATAACCTTCAGACACAGCTGCACAATAGATGCTCTTTGAAAGCCCAAGGAAGGGTTTCCATCCTCCCAGATCTGGGCTGTTTGCTCCTGCTCCCTCCCTGTTTATCACCCCTTCACCTGTGCCGATGTAAATACAGGCAGAGCCACATTGTGAAAAGGATTTTTGAAAGGAGTTTTTTAAAAAACCCAAGCCATGTGAAGAAAAAACACCCCAAGCAACACGATTACATCATTTAACAGCAACAGAGATGCAAGAAAGCTGCAACGCTCAGATCCACTGTTGCACTCCACTTCCTCTAATTACATCTCCCCGGCTCTCCTGCCTCAGGCTACGGATATATGAAGCAGCAAAGCTTAAGGAATCAACCCCCCCCCAAAAAAAAAAAAATAATTGCACGGAGGAGAAAATTACCCATCATCTATCCAGGTATAACAGTGCCAGGAAGCCAGCTGGACCGGTCACGGGTTAATGTGCTCATATCCACACCCTTGGGATATAAACTATTGAGATGCAGTTCATCTTGATATGATTTCCCCCGGCAGCTCCAGCATCGTCTCTGGCCCCTCGCCTCAGGAGTTGTGCCTGTGTAAGTGGGCTACGTGCTGGTGTGCGTGGGGATGCTGACATCAGCACCCACCAAGCAGCAGCCCTCAGCATCATCCTGCCTTAAAATTATGCTGGAGACAAAGGTGGTTTAAGCAGCTCCAGCCCTTCCTGCTGCCCAGTTGCTCCCACACCAGCTGCTGCTCTACCAATGCGTGGTCTAACCTGCACCAGTAAAATGACCAGAAATCAACCCAAAATCATGGGTTGCTGGCTTTGCCACAGGGAACGTCAAATGTGGGGGGCCACACAGTGGTGGAGACACCTCTATGGAACAGTGAGAACAGGGCGCTGGATCCCACCCTCGCTGTCTGTACCCCCACCTCCCAAGCGCTATGAGGCAGAGAGGAGACTTTTAAGTTTGAGGTCACAAGTACTCCTTTTCCCCAGGACAGTCCTCACCCCACTCCTGACCCTGTCCCCCAGACCCTCAACCCCCAGATCCCAACCCAACGTCCACCTCTCTGCAGGGAGAGGGCTGAGAGGGGAGGGGGCTGCGAGCCCAGACACGGAAACACAAGACATAGGATTGAGGAGGAATAGGAGAACGCACAAGTAAACGAGGAGTAGCCACTTCTCATTCAAGCAACCTGCTCCTCGCTGCCCAGACTGAAACATCAAACAACTCATTAGCTATTTTTCATTCCCAGGGCAAGCACAAGGACTAAGGTGCAGCCAGTGCCCCTGGGCTGGGAGCGTCACTGCTGATGAGCACAGTGCGGCAGACAGGCAGCTACTGAGGGACAGAGAAGTAACGGGAATGACAGCCAAGGAGCAAGATATCCAACAGATTAATTACAGCACAGCAGGGGTCTTCTCACGGTACGTTGGGGCTTTCTGGAGAGTCGATCCCTATTAAATTCTTTGGGAAATGAGTTTAGGTAGCCAAAGCTTTGATTGGTGGCTCCCCACACTCATCTCTCCTGCAGAGACACCGCCGAGCGCTGGGACACACAGCCTGATCTCTGTTCAGGGATGGGGCGTGTTTCAGATTCAGGTCAGCCACCAGCCTCCTGTCCCAAGCCTGGCCCACAACGTCATCCCGACTTGATGTCACACACTTCTCCCTTCATCATCCACTCCCACTGCATCTCTGGAGAGCAGAGTTAAGGGGATTTAAGTTCTGGGAAGACACATGCTTGATAAAGTATGTACTGCCTAGCTTGCATGGGTCTGTGGGTAACCAGACCCAATACTCTGGAAGGGGCAATGAGAGACAGCAGGACAAACGTCATTCTGTGTGAACAGATATTTGGGCCATTCAACTTATTAATGCTCAGAGGACTGAGGCACACCTTATGCATCGTTTATAAATTAAAATAAATCACTCCCCCATCTTAAGGATGAAAGAGTGAGGAAGCCAGAAACTAAATCCAAACTGCCTCCTGGTCACCGCTCCGCTAACCGTGTCCTTCTTCTCCCCATCATGCCTACAGATGATGTCTGTGGTTCCTCAGACCAGTTCAGACCCTTTATGTGTCCTTTTAAACCACTGAAAAGGGGATTCAGACACAGTAGGCTCCAACCCTAACAACTATTCCTGCATATTCCCAGCAGAGACTGTCCTTTTCCTTTGCAGAAAGGCACCTGGATTTCTCACCACTCAATGCTACCTAATTTGTGAGGATAACAAAACCTGTGACACTTCTTCTGGAGGTAATGCCTAGAGACCCTACAGCTCTTCAGATCTGCCATAACGACCTCACCCACCAAGCGTTCAGACAAAAAAGGATTCTTTCAAGAGATATATCTCTTATAAAAACTGACGACAAGACTATAAACCAAACTAGCAAAAATGTTCATCAACAGGTAGGTCCCAAAAGGTGCCTCTCAGCACCTCTGCTGGTTTTAGGACTTTTAAAATGCCAGGATATGCTTGGAGCCTTGCAGATTTTCCAAGTGCAATTCACAGCTTTATACGCCAGCAAGAGAAAGTGTTTTGCAACGTATTCCGAGCCGTGGGAGCTCGGACTTACCTGTCATAGGGAGGCAGAGAAGGGAGCAGAGATGGAAATGAACACCCTGGTTGAAGGAATCAGCGGGTGATTATGAATGCTCCTGGTGTGGATCCACCAATCCCAAGGGAGCATAACTGTCATTCACCGCAAAAACATGCTTTAAGCACAGGCAAAACCCAATGCCACGGGAACTGAGGATCTTCCAACCTCATAAGCTGAGTCTCTGGCACATCACTAAGAAATACTAAGGCTAATTCTTGCTGTTTATTTATCAGAAAGCAACTAAGATGAGTGTCTGTCCTGAGGTGAAACACTGCAAAGAGGCAGCAGAGCACTGTTAGCAGACTGAAGTTCAGAGAGGTGAGCTCCCACTAATGCCCACCACTAGCCTCTTTTCATTTAATTTCAATAACTTAGTATTTAACTGTTTCCCTGCATTTTTGTATCAAGATTGGTCACACTTTGCTTCTCGAAACTAAACGTGAACTAAATGAGCCCCTTTCTGTTCTCCACTGCCGCTACAGCCCTCTCTTCTCTTCCAACCTGTCTGGTGGCAATGGGACCCTCTTTTACCTGCAGTGTGCAGAGGAGTTCTCTTTATCGTGCTCTCCGTGTCCCAGCTGCCCGGAGACACATCCAGCAGGTACCGGAGGACCCAGGGATGGCCCTCCCGGCTCGCGATGTGGAAGCAATTCCAGCCATCCTTGTTCTTCAGCAGCGGGTTGGCTCCATGCTCCACAAGAGCTTTAATCACCTCCAGGTTTTGCCTGGTACAAGCCATCATTAGGGGAGTCCTAAAAGAAAGATGAGGCAAATGTAATAACTGGAGAGACAGCGCTGTACGAGCCTGATGGCTTTTGTTCTAATGTCTGAGCTTGAAGCGTGATTTAAACTTGTTTGTAGCACTGACAGGCCTGTCTAATAAAACAGAGAAGCTCAGTGCCAGCTGTGGTAAGCTAGCCAGAGGGAAAATTGATGTGCTAAAACTACTCTGAGGTAGTGGGAAACTCTGCTGGCTAAAGGCAAAGTCCTTCTCCAAGCCCAGGGCTAAATTTATCATCTCGCCTGCATTTGGATGCTTTGACCGAAGCTCACTACGCGCTGCGTACAGAGCCATTGAGATTTTACGGCATTGTTTTTTCATGCAGGTAAAATGGGGTCTGGCTTTTTGGGGACTGTTGAGACAGAGCTGTTAATGTCAGTGTTTCTTACCCCAGCCAGGCAGCTGTGGCTGCAGGCAACAAACCACAGACAACTCCACATCTCCTGGCAGTAGGGCACGAGTGTAGCAGCAAATGCCACTCTGGAACATTTCTGATGCAGAGCAGCTGGCCTGAGAGTGAAGTTTTTCACAGCTTTGTCCTGTTTCACATGCCTGGGAACAACCTTTGATATTTAAAAATATTTTTACAAGCATAGGAACAGCATCTTCTCCATCCCACAATTTCCAAGCCATGCCTTGCATGGATTGTGCGCGCGCTCCTGGAAATCCAGTGGGTCCATCTGGCAAATAAACACAGCGAACAGCCCATCTCACTCTGCTTTCAACCTCTTATCCAGCAATGACCACATTTTCATATCTGCAACGCACACACTGCAGACTAACAACCACTTCAGCTCCTGCCTGGCAGCAGGACAGGTCCACCACCGAGGTTCTCCTTCCTGGAGACCCATTATCTTCTTGCTTACCCTTCCCCACTCAGGACTGGTGAGGTTGCTGGATCTGCAGCCTCCTTTGGAGGAACAAGCAGAGAGCCACCAGGAGGTGGGCATTAGCTCAGGGTTTACTCGCAAGGGTAACTTGTGGTGCTAAACCCACAGACACATCCTGTGTTTGGCTTAAGTGACTAATTTCACCAATCTCACCACCAGCAACCCTTATTTTCCTTAATTACCACATTATATAACGATAATAGTTTAACTGCGGCAAGTAGGAGCTGCATTCTCCCTTTTATCTGTTTATAAACTTCACCCAACCATCGAACGCTGGGTGCGCGCACGGATCGGACAGAAACCTCTGAGCATTCCCAGAACAGGTGGACACTTCTCCATCTGAGAGGACTTATCTCCTCTTCATCAGCCCATATACATCAGCTGGGAGAGAAAAAAAAAAACCCAACCATTCCTCTTTCAGGAAAAGCTGCGGCACAAAAACTTCCCACTGCGCAAGAAACGAGAGGACTCGTGGGCCTAAACTGCAGTGAAAGAGACTTGGGTTAGACTTTAGAATGAATGCTCCAGTTTTAAGGACAACGACAGGAAGCGAAGGGAGATAAAAATCTCCATCGCTGGAGATTTTTAAGAAGAGATTAGGCACGCGCCTGCTGGGGATGCTGGGGTAGGGCTGAGCCTGGAGCTCCGCGTTTCCTGCAGCTCTGTTTCTAGAGAGTGCCTCGGATCAGCGTATATTTTCAATGCAAACGAGACTTTGTCCGAGGGCTGGAACGTGCGCTAGCAAGCACATAGCTCCCCATTTTTAATCCGTGGATGGAAGGGTACTGCAGGCCTATCAAAGAAAACCACGCTTGCAGACGCATCTGCACGCAGCTCATCAGATCTCTGCCTCCCTCTGCTCCCCCTGATGTCAGCACAACGCTGGCACAGCCTTCAGTTACGAGGTGCTGCCTTTGTATTTACGTTAGTTCAAGCGTCAAAACAACCTCACCGGGCTTTAACGTTGAGAATCTTTGCTTTCTTTTACAAGGTGATACATAGAAAACTCCCTCCCCAAGAGGAGATTTTGACACTGGTCAGGCCTGCTGCATGTCTGTGGGTTAGACTTTGGTTTTTATTCTCAATTCTCATTTCCTCATCACTTACTTACATGTTACCCATGTGGCAGGCAAACAAAAGCCCTGAAGAAACCAGTTGTTTCTTGGATTGTTGAGGCTATTACTATTATATCAGCAACAAATCTGACCTGACAAGCTCTGTTTGCAAGGGGGAAACAGGAGTAAAACTTACTTTTTATCTTCTTGTTTTAGTTTCTGAGGACTGGGATATAAAAATGTGAATCAGTATCACTGATCCCCATCAAATGGGGGAACGAGGAGAACAAATAGCTGTGGATGAAAGCTTTTAAATTGGATCCACTAATAAAGAAGTAATTTACAACTTTTGCAATAAACAGGAGGAAATCAGTGATAGGGCTGGAATTTAGCCCAGAAAGCCAACCGAATCCTGGGCTGCATAACAAGAACTGTGACCAAAAGGTCAAGGGAGGGGATTCTGCCCCTCTGCTCCCCTCTGCTGAGACCTCCCTTAGTGCTGCGTCCAGCTCTGGGGTCTCCAGGACAAGAAGGACATGGAGCTGTTGGAGCGAGTCCAGAGGAGGCCACAAAGATGATCCCAGGGCTGGAGCACCTCTGCTATGGAGACAGGCTGAGAGAGTTGGGGTTGTTCAGCCTGGAAAAGAGAAGGCTCCAGGGAGACCTTAGAGCACCTTCCAGTCCCTGAAGGGGCTCCAGGAAAGCTGGAGAGGGGCTGGTGACAAGGACAGGGAGTGACAGGACAAGGGCAATGGCCTGAAGCTGCAGGAGGGGAGATGGAGATGAGAACTGAGGCAGAACTTCTTCCCTGTGAGGGTGGTGAGGCCCTGGCACAGGTTGCCCAGAGAGGTGGTAGATGCCCCATCCCTGGAAACATTCAAGGTCAGGCTGGATGGGGCTTTTAGAAACCTGATCTAGTTGCAGATGTCCCTGCTCATTGCAGGGGGGTTGGACTAGATGACCTTAAAAGGTCCCTTCCAACCCAAACCAGTCTGTGATTCCATAATTCTAGATGACAGCTCCTACAGTTGCATTCCCACCTTCTGCATCCAAACCCTTTTCAGACATCGCTCTGACCCATGGCACGTCAAGCCAGTGACCTACCAGTCTGCCTTTTTCAAGCAGTCTACGCTCACGCCTCTCTCCATGAGGTATGAGACACACTCCCCGTGGCCCATGGAAGCCGCTTCGTGGAGGGGTCTTTTGTAGTCGCTATTGAACACCTCAACATCCATCCCCAGCGTCTCTACCAGGTAGGCGAGGACATCCCGGTGTCCGTATCGGGCAGCGTGATGCAGCAGCGTGTCCCCTGAGCGTCCATAGCGTCGGCTCTGCACCGCTGAGCCCAGCACGTCGTCCGGCCGCAGCTCATCCCGGAGGAGGTCCAGTCGTCCTTCCTGCACCAGCCGGAGGAGCGGCCTTGCCATCTCCCCCTCTGCCATGGCTAAAAATCTGCAAGAAAGAGGCAAAAACATCAGGATTATGGTTTCAAAATACACAAATATAACGGGTGCTCCCTGGGTAGGGATAAATAGATATTACCTTTCCTCTCAGGAAATACAACCTGGCCTCTGCCTCCAGAAAAACAGAAATTTCCTTTTCCCTCAGCCAAGCTACAATCAGCCTCTCCCTCAGGATAACCAGAAATTTCCCTCTCCCTCAAGATAACCAGAAACCAGCTTCCCCTTCAGGAAAAATGGAAATTTCCTCGCCCCTTAGAAAAACCAGGAACCAGCCTCTCCCTCAGGAAAACCAGGAATTTCCTTTTCCTTTGGGAAAACTAGGAACTGGTCTCTCCCTCCAGAAAATGAGACATTTCATTTCCCTTAGGAAAACCAGGAACCAGCTCCAGAAAAACAGAAATTCTCTTTCATCTCTGGAAAAACCAGAAATTTCCCTTTCACTCAGGAAAATTAGAAACTGGCTGCTCACTCAGGAACACCAGAAATTTCCTTTTCCCTTAGGAAATTCTGAAAATTACTTCTCCTTCAGTAAAACCAGAAATGTAGTTTTCCCTCAGGAATACCGGAAACCAGTCTCTCCCTCAGGAAAAAGCTATTTCCTCTCAGGAAAGGCAGAAATGTCCTTTTCCCATCGGAAAAAAAAGAAATTTCCTTTTCCTGTGGGAAAAACAGAACCCAGCCACTCCCTCTGGAAAACCTGCAATTTTCAAGGGAAAAGGAAGTTCCTTCCCCTTAGGAAAACCAGAAAATGGCTTCTGCCTCTGGAAAAACAGAATTTCGCTTTCCCTCAGGAAAAACAGACAATTCCTTTTCCCTCAAGAAAACTAGAAACTGGCCTCTTTCTCCAGAAAACCAGTAATTTACTTTTTTCCCTGAGGAATTATCAGAAACCAGACCCTCCTCCAGGAAAAATTAGAAATTCCTTTCCCCTTAGGAAAACCAGGAATTGGTCTCTCCCTCAGAAAAACCAGAAATTTCCTTTTCCCCCTCCAGAAAACTAGAAGCCAGCCTTTCCCCCAGGAAAAACACACATTCCCTTTTCCTCTTAGGAAAACCAGTTGCTCCCTCAGGAAATCCTGAAATTTCACTTTCCCTCTGGAAAAACATGAAATTTCCTTTTTCCTCTGGAAAACTAATAACATCCATTTCCCTCTGGAAAACAAAAAACCAGCCACTCCCTCAACAAAACCTGCAATTTCCTTTTCCCTCCAGAAAATGGGAACTTTCCCTCAGGAAAACCCAGAATTTCCCTTTTTTCCCTCAGGAATACCGGGCTCGGGCCTCTCCCTCACACCGAGGACCCACCACATTTCCCTCCCCTCAGCCC